ATCCAGCTTTACGTACGAAAACAAAAAATAATATTTAATAATGGGTTTAATATTTCAATTAAGGCATTCAAATACTAGGAATAAAGTGTAATCACTAAATCTCAATATAAATGTCATTCAAACTGATTTAAACTAATTATATTCCTTCGCACAGAAACAAAAATATTTTACATAACTTTTATCTAATACTATAATTTATGTGAATTACAAATAATGCATTTGCTTAGTTCAATAGATATATTCTGTGTCACTATTCTGGCAGACATGTAAGTAAATGCCAGAGTTGTCGACAGATAATTAAAGACATTATAAATCTGAAACTAATCCACTAAAAAACCAAACAATATTCAAAACAATTAATGAATAAGTGATTTCAAATTCACCAAAAATGTCAATTAATTAATTACAGTGTTTCCCAATTAAAAGTCATATGTTTCCCTCAACTTTGTCCGCTCGCGCCACAACTAAATCCTATTTTCCCAAAATTAAGTCTTGTTTCAATGCAGAGGAATAGAAATATAAGAATAACAGCAATCATTGAGGAAAAACATTTTATTTCAAATACAAATAATTATACATTATTTATCACTGATTAATTGACTAATAATATCACAAATCTTATAAAAAACTAATTGCACTTCAAATCAACAAAACAAATGAAAACATTGTTTGCATTGAAACACATGGTATGCATTGAAACGCATTGAATGCGTTGAAACAAGACTTAATTTTGGGAAAATAGGATTTAGTTGTGGCGCGAGCGGACAAAGTTGAGGGAAACATATGACTTTTAATTGGGAAACACTGTATATTAATTAGTCTAAATGCTGCTCATGTAAAGTGTATGTCCGCTAATAGATAATGATTTTTTTGCCAAACATTATATAATTTACAACTATTTAATGCATTCCTGTGGCCATCGCTAGCACTGAATAAAACTATTTTAGAGAAGAGACAGATTTCACGGATAGGAGGGATTAAACCGATGATATTTGTGACGCAAATGTCTTGTCTGAGTCTTAAGATTCAATAGATATTTTTAGAGTAAAATAATGGCTTCAATTGTAGTCAAATAATAATTTTTGTTTAATAATCAAAGTTATAACAAAAGAGTAATCCATTTAATCACCGCTAATGTCATTGAGAGGACATATGCCCTAAAACCCATTAAAATTCATAGAGAATCTACAGATTAAGGTAAAAGTGATAAAAGTAATGGTTTTTAAGTTAAAAGGGAAATCAGAATCCTATCATAAATGCCATCAAATAAAACTAAGACATGTCCTCCAAATGTTAAGAATTCTAATTTTTAAAATTCCTTAATTTAGTGTTGCATTTGGTGTTTAAGTTATACAATAAATTATGAACAAACTTAATGAATGCATAACTATTGCAAAAGTAATAATGCATTATATTACTATCTAAATGGGAAACATGGTTGAAATGACATTGGTAAAACACTTAAATGTATATAAAGTGTGCAATATTTCACAATTCTCATTGGCTTTTGAGACATTCATAATTGCTATTCATTACACGTTCAGCGCATATATCTTTGGCAGAGCCCTCATAGAGGCCACTGAATCTGTAAAAGTGTCTCAATTCGTGATGTAATGTAAGTCTGGCTCAGAATTTGGAGCAGAAGTGAGACATAGAGTGTTCACGTGTTGGCGAATAGAGTATGAGATGATTGTTACTCAAGAAATCAATACTTATATACAGTATTAAGAGAATGTCTGTACGAGTAGTGATAATATACAGTGAAATCTCTCTATGAAACCATACATTAGTAGCCAAGAGCTGACGTACCGATGATTTCAGACGCATTGCAGCATTACATGCAATACACAGAATAAAGTGATGGTAGAATTTAACACACATTATACTGCATTATATTGTACTGAATAGTGGTATACATGTAAAGTCTGTACATGTAGTCTGTATAGTGACTATACATTAATATTTTTTTTGCTTATTTTATATTCTTTTTCAAAGCAATCAAATTACAGAACTTTGCGATTAATGTTCTGACGAAATGTCTGCTAATTGTTTGCTAAAGTCTGAGTTATTGACAGTAAAGGCTATTTATATGATAAATAGTGTAGAATATTATAATTTCAATCATAGTTAATAACTTATAATCAATATATTAATTAAAAGAGTTTAGCATAGGATTGAAGGGCTGAATAATTATAAAGTGATTGTTTAGGAGACACTTAAAATTGTGCGAATTTTTGCAAAACTGAAGCAATTGTTTAGTTATTGTTAGAAATAAGTTGCGGAGAAAAATAAGTGAAGTGATACTTGAAATGATACCTCAATTACTAGTTTAGTGAATGGTTTAGTTAGTCGGCCGAGGAATTCAGTGTTGGTAGAGTTGTCTCGTTTCCAATCGCCTTGTATTAGGGCGTCAGTCATGAGCTCTAAGTAATGTGTGGACACTTCGATGGGTAGGAGGACTATAACTGTGAGCCAATTGAACATATCGTGAACAGTGGCGGCGGCGAAGGCCAGACGGAACTCATTCCTGTCGGTCGCCTGCATTAGCGACACAATAGTGTTGGTGACAGACGTGCCAATGTTGGCGCCCATCACAATCGGAATGGCTTCCCGTACTTTGATTACTAAAAGTTCGGTCAATTACTATTGAGGCCACGGCCTCCTCGCAAATCATAGGCACTTACAATGGGAGCCAACCATTGTTACGACAATCGACGTCGAGGTGGACGACGACTGGACCAGAACTGTGACCAAAACGCCAATCATAAGGCCCACCACCGGATTCTTCAGCAGATCGCTGTCCGATATGATCCTTCCAGCGGCTCGACTGCCGACCAAACGAAACGCTGAGCTCAAGAAGTCCAGCGAACAGATGAAGAAATATAGTAACACCAGAAGTCCAATCACTTTCGCTATACTAATGAATATTCTTTTGATTCTTTCGGTTCCATTCATTTCTGTGGAATACACCGAAACAGGTGTCAGAATATATGGTTCACCAGTTGTGCGCAAAACGGGACGGGAGGACAGGTATTGTTTCCTCAATCGCTGTATCACATGATAGCGAGAGGCTATTGACTCGCAATCCATTATCATTATATACGGTATATGTGTTTTGGTGTAGACTTTAATTATTATATAATATATGGTTATCAGACTTTGTATAATGTTTTGGTCAAAGTTTTTTGCCCGAAATACTATTCAATATAACGTGTATT